TGTGACCGTCCCCACACGGCTGCTCTGGGGGACGCTCCGGGGCCAGAGGAGCGGCCCTGAGGTCCATATTCATTTCAGCTCCATTTTAAAGGCGAGTTAAAATAAACACGAGGAATATTTATAAGGCAAATAAATCTGGCAGAAACAGCCCCTCCAAGTGTGAGCGGCTGCCTCCCCCTCGGCCCGACCCAAGCTGATAAAATACAGAAATGCTACTGTAGACCCTGCAGGCTTATTTTGACTACAGCTGAGGAATGTAACATGTAAACACTGACTCCCATATTACACTGTTACAACTTGCATTAACAGCACCGGACAAAAGCCGCTTTTTCACAGAAGCATCGTACAGGGGATATATCTCCAGCTTAATTTTTTCCCCCCTTCTTCTTAAAAAAAACCATTTCCTCACATAAATCATGCTCAGAATGAAACGGGTGACTGGTACACCACAAACACTTTTCTCCCCCCCCCCCCCGCCCCCTTCTCTCCCTTAAACAATAACATACCTAGATTCCTTCTCAACGAAAGAGCTTTAAAACATCTTCTAAATGTTTCTTTGGAGGGAGAAAATAAACACTGCTGTTTCTTTCCTGACCAGAATAGCTGAGGCCGGGTCTTCCTTGGCTTCTTCGGCCGCCCTGGCACATTCGGGGTAGAGGAGGTCGGCAACCCCGCACACCCACTGTGTGCCGCCTGTGCCTCTCGGCCTGTCCTGCACACCCACTATGTGCCGCCTGCACGAGTAAAGGGAGAAATAAACAGCACCCAGCACCTCCTGTGAGGGTCTGGGAGGACAAAGGGAATGTGGCTGTGAGGGTCCAAGGAAGAAGTGGGAATACAGAAGCGGGGCCAGACACAACTGCTGCAGCCTCGGATGAACTCCCTCTCCACCCCGATCCACAGTGCTGCGTCTGGAACTGGGGGCACCAAGACCTTGGGGAAGAAGGAGCTGCCTTCTCGCCACAGATCAGAAAGAGCCACTAATCACTTGTTATGCATCAGAGAGTTTGGACAGTGACCAAGGAGGATAGAAGGAGAATTGATGCCTTTGAGCTGTGGTGCTGGAGAAGAGTATTGAGAATACCATGGACTGCTAGGAAAACAAACAGATTTGTCCTGGAAAGGGTTAAACCGGGTGGCTCCTTGGAGGCAAAGATTCTGAGGCTCCATCTAACACACTTTGGACATGTTGTGAGGAGAGACCGGTCCTTAGAGAGGGACATCATGCTTGGGAGGGTGGAGGGACAGCGCAGGAGGGGAAGGCCCTCTATAAGGTGGATTGATTCAGTGACTGGGATAATTGGGATGGGTGTGTCGGAGACAGTGCGATTGGCACAGGACAGAGCAGAGTTTAGGGCTGTTGTACATAGGGTCGTTATGAGTTGCAAGCAACTCGACGGCACATAACAACAACAACAGACGGTTAAGATTAGGAAGGTGGTGGTGGTGTTATGTACCATCGAGCTGGAACCAAGCAGCGGGTTGACCCTGGTTGACCCTCCAGCGGGATTTCACAGGCAGTAAATCTCACGGGAGGAGACTGCCCATCTTTTTCCAGTGGAACAACCATCTGGTGGATTCGAACTGTGTACCTTTGGATTGGCAGCACAATTCCTTACCACCAAGCCACCAGAGTCCCTTATACAATTAGGGTGAAGACCCCATAAATTCTGGAACTCTGTCTCTAGTCCACTGCTCCTTCTCACTTGCCAGAGGGGACCCGCTGTCTGACTCTTAGACCGTGCACTGTGTGCATGGTTGGTTGTGTTTCTTTTCATCTTTCACTAATAAACCAGACACTACAGGCTTTTGTGAGTGTCTGTCTGTCCGGCAACCTTCTCTGGACAGAACTTGATAGTGCTCTCCAAGGCATCGATCCTTCTACCCTGACACTGGAACCTAACACCTTCCGGGGCCTGGAGACACTGTTTTGTTTCTGAATGCAAGAGAAAACCAGCCCCAAAGCATGATCATACGAAGTTGACATATGAAATTGGCTTGAAAGGCGTGGGACAGGGACACCGAGAGACGGCCCTTGGCGACAAGCAGGGCTGATGGCCAGGAGGCAGCACCAAGAGCAACAGAGTGAACCGCTTCTATCCCAATTCTAGAAGCCTGCCGGGGGCGAGGGGTGCTGGCTGACTGCGTCTGTGTCCCAGCAGGAGCAATCAAAACAAGACAGAGAAAGCTGGGAAGAAGGACGTGCAGGCCTGGCTGGAGCGGTGCAGAGGGACATACGTGAGGCCCTCGAACAGACAGGGACGAGGGCGCTGCGGCCAGGTGCACACGGGGACGTGACCTCCAGACTAATCAACAGGCAGGGGATAGGTTCACGGGGTAGGAGGCCTTATGAAGTGTGAAAGACTGACAAAGAGGGCACAGCATGCAACACACACACACACACGTATATAAGCATGCACACATATACTCCAGCATACACACGCATGTAACATGCCAATTTGCACATCCATACACACACACACACTTCAATCTGGACACACAAACACACCTCCTCTCCTCACACGTCACCTCGCACGCCCCTCACGCTCACGCTCACGCCCACACCCTTCCTCACACCCGCTCACAACACAGACCACGTGGCAGGGACTCTGGCCGTCTAAGTGCTGGGCGAAAACACTGCAGTTTCTGCCAAGTGTGTGTCACTCTTTTGCACACACACTCGATCTCAGAGCCATGCAGTGTAAAGGGTTTAAGGTATATTTTAGAGAGGGACACCTACCCCCCAGCCTGTGCACATCACAGGCAAGCAAGCACCCTGTGAAAAGCCAAAAGACAACCGACAAGCTGCCACCCCTGAGACACAGGACGGTACAGACTGAGGCCACCAAAGGGTCCTGCTGTTAGCTGCCACCGGGCACTTCCAAACTCCCAGGGACCCCACACACGCAGAGCAAGACTGCTCCACACAGCACTCCAGGCCAGGCCCTGTCAGGACAGAGTTCCAAGCCTCGCTCCCCAGGCCCCTCCGAGTGGGTCTGGACGGCCAGGCACAGGTCAACGGGCCAGGGCTTAGCCATCTGCACTGGCCAGCGATTTCCAGGGAAAGGAACGTCGGGAAGCAGGTCAAGGATCAAGAGATGCGTCACACTTGTCCACACACCACACGCACTCGCACGAGCCCAGAGACACACTCATATGCTCTCACACTTAGGTACTTATCACTCACACACACGTACCCAGAGACACACTCACATACTCTTACACATAGGTACAATATCACAAACACACACACACACACACACACACACACACACACAATTAGGTACACACACACACGCTCTCATACATGGGTATATCACACACACACATACCTAGAGACACACTCACAAACTCTCACACTTAGGTACATGTCACACACATACACATATCCCAAGAGATACATATACTCTTCCACTTAGGTACACACCACACACACACTCATACACACACCCTGAGACACACTCATATGCTTTCACACATAGGTGCATATCACTTATACACACACACACGTACCCAGAGACACACTCACATACTCTTACACTTAGGTACAATATCACACACACACACACACACACACACACACACATTCTTACACTGTACACACCACACATACGCACATTAATATACTTGCACACTTAAGTACACATCACACACATTTTCTTCCATATACACACACACAGACACACTCCCGTCCTCTCACACTTATGTAGACACCACACATGCGCTCAGAGACACACTCAGATATTCACACACTCACGTGCACATTCACACTGACAAATACCCAGAGACACAGTCTAATGCTCTCACACGGACGCTGTCACACTCTTGCCAACACACTGCACACAAATACCCAGGGGCACACGTGTTGTCACACTCAGACACGCACGTCACACATACACCCAGCGACATGCTCACATACACACTCACGCCCACGCCCACCTCATTCATAGACACTCAAACATACACAGTCACTCTTCAACACACACAACACACTACTGTGATTACATTCAAGGGATTCGAGACCCTTCACTCATGCTGAGGGAAAGAAGAGAGGGGCGTGCAACACACACGTGTGTACACACACACACACACACACACACACACACTTCCCCTTGCACAGAGGCCACAGAAATGCTCCTATTCTCCTCCCATGTCACCTATGCGTCCCACACACACACTCTAACTCACACACAGAGGACACATCCGCTGTTACTCTGGGTGCCACGGCATCCACTCACACACACTTCCACATTCACGTCCACGTGTGCATTGCTCACCCGTGCAGAGGACACATGTGCTCCTCACTCTCTGCTATCACTCACCCCTCACACTCCCCTCCATGCACACTCCTTCCACATGCATGCCCGCACACACATACACGCACACGTGCACGCACACCTGTCTGTGTGCACACCTTTTCACTCGTGCTCTGCAAGGCCAGGTCTGGAGGAAGCCCAGCTCCAGGATGGATGGCCAAGCCTCTGCCGCCCTCTGGTGGCCGTGCTGGGTCCTGCGAGCATGAAATCCTCTCTCCACCCACAAGAAGGTCTAGGTCTGCGGGGTGCAGAGAAGGCCCATCCCAACGCCCATGGCTTGGGAAGGGTGAGACCACCCACATCTTCGGTTCTCCCCCACACTGGGCTGTGGCTGCTGAAGCCCTGGGACCTTTCTTAAAATGTCAGGAGAAGCTACACGTGAATCAGATGACAGCTGAGACATGATAGAGGGGAGGGGCCAGACCAAGGTCATTTCCAACCCCGCTCCTAATTTCAGCAATGCCCACAACGGGACCAATGGATCCCATCTAGCTCCTTGCTGGAAAATCATTGCTCTAGACTTAGAATCCACATTGTCGCCTCCCAGTCACAGGACACAGAGGGTCAACAGCTGTGAGGAAGGATGAGAAATAGGCTTTCTCTTTGTTTCCTAAATCAGAGCGGGCACAGCAAAGCCAGGTCTATGCAACCCCGGGAACAGACAGGACACACTCGGGGCCTTACGTCTTTCCAGGGGACTCCTTCAGCCAGAAGATGTCGTCACTTGTGATTCCATATTCCAAGGCGCCCTCCACCTATCGGGAGACACACGGGTGAGTGAGAAGACGGCAGTGGGCTGGTCACTGGGACCTCCTCCGAGAGGAGGCCTGCTCCCCACACGCACAGCTCCACCAGCACCACTCCAGCTTCCAGCTGATGCGTGACTTCCATGGGGACAGATGCTGGCCTCGCTGGATCTGACACAGGTCCCATGTGCCTGGCCTCCAGCTGTGTGGGCTGTGCCCTTTGCTGATGGTCAGGTCAGCCAGCAGGTGCCCTCCAGGAGGGGTCAGGAAGAGAGGGTCTTTCTTCTGTTTTCTGGAACCTTTCTCTGGATTCAGACCTCAGGCACTGAGGCCAAAAGGGTCATGGGGACGCAGGGGCCACATAAACAGAGCATCAGAGCTGCACAAGTCTGTTCTGGATGCGTGCAAAGCAGGAAAGATGGAAGGCGTGCAGGTCAAGGGCGCAGCAGCCCAGAGCTCCGGGAGGACCCAGGATCAGAGAGAGGAGGCCGACTGAGCAAGGGACAGCAAGCTAGCAGCTGGAGGAGCTGAAGTCAGGGCTTCCAACCATAGAGACAAGGGCGAGGGCTAGAGTGTCAGTGAGGCTGGTGGAGTTGGGGGCGAGCCAGGGGGTTCCTGTCCACTGAGGCAGGAAGGGTGCACAGAGCGGTGAGGAGTGGGGTTCGAGCCCAGATCAGGCTGGAGGGCAGGACAGGTCCTGAAGTACAGGATGGGCATCATCTCATGTGAGAGACAAGGCTGAGGGCTGGGCCCACCAAGGCCCCCTCGAGGTGCCAGCACAGGTGGGCTCCAGATCACCCTAATATCCTGATGGGAGCCTGTCCCCAGGTGACCTCAGAAAGGGCTGCTGAGCTTTTGGGGGAGCTACGAGGCGCAAGGGTCCTCTTTCTGGTCTATGAGGAGTAAGATGTGTTCCCAGGGAGGAAATGGGACTTCAAACAGTTTACAGTTCCAAATGGCAGAAAAAATAAAGTCTAGGGTTTGCTCAAGGAAAACGAAAAGGCCTATTAAAATCAGAGGGGATTAAAATACAAACAAGCTTCAGGGGGCAGAGCGGGTGGGACATGGCAAGGCAGAGCAGGGGGTGATGGGCAGTGGGGAGGTACCGGGCGTCTGCAGGCAGGACCGTGGGGGGCGGCTGTCATGTGCACCCTGACACCTAGGAGCTCCCACTGCACCCCACCGTCAAGGGCCAGAGATGGCAGGTAGCAGGCACAGGAGAGGGCAGCAGGATAGGCCAGGCCAGGCCTTCTCCCAAGGTCTTTGGGTGAAAGGTGTGTGTGAGTGTGTGGATGTGCGGTCAGCCAGCCCTTCTCCATAAGGCACCTGTGTGAGAGTGAGTGTATGTGCGTGTGTGAGTGTGTGTGTGTATGAGACTTTCAGGGGCTTTAAATAAACAGTGTGTGTGAGTGTGTGTGTGAGAGAGAGAGAAAGAGAGAGCAAGCGAGAGAGAGACTTTCAGGGGCTTTAAATAAACGGTGTGTGTGTGTGTGTGTGTGTGTGTTTGTGAGAGAGAGAAAGAGAGACTTTCAGGAGCTTTAAATGAACATGTGTGTGTGTGTGTGTGTGTGTGTGTGTGTGTGTGACTTTCACGGGCTTTAAATGAACATATGTGTGTGACTTTCAGGGGCTTTAAATGAATGTGTGTGTGTGTGTGTGTATGTGTGACTTTCAGGGGCTTTAAATGAACATATGTGTGTGTGTGTATGTGACTTTCAGGGGCTTTAAATGAGCCTGACTTGAGCTCATGCTGCCAGGTGAGTGGCTTGCTGTCGCCAACTATGACCTTGGCTGTTGTATCAACCTCGAACACTCCAGGCAGGATAAATGACCACACATCGCAAGATTAGCATCTGACTGTGCATTGCTCATCAAAAACCAGGGAGGCCAGAGGGCACGCTGAAAGTGATTAAGGAAAAGAATTGTGAGCCAGGAACTCCAGGTCCTACAAAGCAATCTTTCAAAAAGGAAGGAGAGCGCAACGAGAAGCTGAAGTTATTCACCACTAGTGGATTCGCCCTGTAAGAAATAGTAAAGGGATTTATAAAATGCAATCGATGGGAATGAGCGTATGAAACACAATGTGAAGGAAGGAAAGCGTGAAACACAATGTATATGGATTTTGTATGCAAACCAATATAAAATAAAAAAAATTAAAGTAAAAAGAAATATTAAAGGGAATCCTTCCAGCTGAAATGAAACAGTAACTGCCAAGTCACAGGCAGGTGGTTCAAATCCACCAGTTGCTCTGCAGGAGAAAGATGGGCAATCTCTTCTCACGTGATTTACAGCCGCTGAAAAACTGTGGGAGGAAGGGAGCTCTGGTGGCCTAGAGGCAAGAAGCTGTGCTGCAATCCCAAAGACACTTGGTTCAAATCCACCAGATGCTCCGCTGGAGAAGGAGGAGCAAGGAGGGGCAGTCTCTTCCTGTGCCAGTCAGATCCGACTCGACAATACACAACAAGAAGGAGGGGGAATCTGCTGGAGGGTCAGCTATGAGTTGGTTCTGACTTGACAGAATTGAGTTTTTTAGTTCTATAGAGAGAAAGCAGAGAGTGGAAGGAAGCTGGGACAGGCATGAACACCAGCGAAGACAGGGCTTCTTTGCATTGTTATGAAAGTGCTCTGGAATTAGTCGGCGCTAACGGATAATTATACAGCTTGCTGACTGAAAGTCACTGCATGACACAGCTCAGAAGGGTGAATTTTATGGTACTCGGTTCATAAAATTCGTTTTATAGTACGCGAGTTAAATCTCAATAAAGCAAAAGCATCGCACAGCATGAGGGCCGGGGACCGGACGAGTCCAGAGGCCACAGACGCGCCCAGTGGTGCTGGGAGGGGACACTCACGTGCGTGGGGTACTTCGGCCGTCCTCCAGTGGCGATGACGATGTGGTCAGCTGACAGCAGAGTCTAAGAGTCACCAGAGAAAGTGATGGGTCACGCAGGACCCTCTGGCCAGCAGGCTCAGAGGCCCCGTGCTGACAGGGGTTGCACCTCTCAGAAGTGGATCACTAGGGCCAACTTCTGAGGCATTCTAGGGAGGTTCAAACAGTGAACCTTTCAGCTCAAGATCAAGTGCCTAACATTTGTGCCACCCAGGGACCCAATGAGCATTGCACCCAAGCTCCATTCTCCTCTGATTTTAAAGAAATCTGTCTCTGATTCCAACGGCTGAGGAAGCTCAGAGGCTGGACCCATGTGAGTGTGGCCCACGGCGTTCCCTCTGCACCAGATACTCACCTCTTTCCCTCCTTTTGCAACACCGCACACCGTGTGCTTATCGATGAAGTGGGCTTTGATGTTGAAGTATGAGACTTTTCTGCAAGATAAAGATGAGAGTCTCAAATATCTTTCTGAATGAATGGAGTAAACCTGGTGACAAATCCAGAGGCTGGAAGGCCCACAGCCCATCGTCATAGCTCTGGTGGGGTCTAAGGCATGGGAAGGCACCAATGCATGCAAGGAATGACAGGACATCTTCCATCTCCCAGAACTCCCTGGAGCACGAGGACCAGGTTCAACCAGAGCCACAGCCCTAGGTAGCCATGCAACCTGATATCTCAGGGGAGAGGTGACAGGCCCCCACAAAGGGCCAGGCCTAACCATTTGGCACAGCCCACCAAGAAGCAAGGGCCCAGCACACCCAGCCACCCAGCCTCCCATCTGCTTCCTCCTGGGCAGACACACACTACCTGCCTTCAGGGGCCCAGGCCAGCACCACAGGGCCCAGGGCCTGTTTGCCCGTATTGTCTAATGACTAAGGACAAAGGACCAGGCTGGCCTGGGTGCCCCGCAGCTTGGGGCTGCTTCCCCTCGTACCATCCTCCTTCCAGCCTCATATCTCCCTCGCTCTCGAGCTGAGGAAAGCTGCTGTGGGGTGATGCCTTCCCTGTCTGGCCCTTGAAATAAGTCTGCTGTTAGGGACCTCTCTAAAGTAGTGACGAGCAATGGTGTCTCTCTGGAGACTAAGGTGCGTCTGATACAGGCCAGGGTCTTTGCAATCACTTGTTATGCATCAGAGAGTTGGACAATGACTAAGGAGGATAGAAGGAGAATTGATGCCTTTGAGCTCTGGTGCTGGAGAAGAGTATTGAGAATACCATGGACTGCTAGGAAAACAAACAGATTCATCCTGGAAAGGGTCAAATCGGGCGGCTCCTTGGAAGCAAGGATTCTGAGGCTCCGTCTAACATACTTTGGACATGTTGTGAGGAGAGACTGGTCCTTGGAGAGGGACATCATGCTTAGTAGGGTGGAGGGACAGCGCAGGAGAGGAAGGCCCTCTATGAGGTGGATTGATTGAGTGACTGGGGTAATTGGGATGGGAGTGTCAGAGACAGTGCGATTGGCACAGGAGAGAGCAGAGTTTAGGGCTGTTGTACATAGGCTCGCTATGAGTCGCAAGAGACTCAATAGCACATAACAACAACAACGACAATGTGTATGTCGTCCTGCTCCGGTATGGGAGGCAGGGCTGCTCTCTCCTGGTCGACCAGAGCCACGTGGGCCTGACTGTGCCCTGGGGAACAAAGCTCACCCAGACGAGGGACACGGGCTGCTCCCAGCTAGGAAGCCTTTAGAATCTGGGGTGCTGGCTCCCCGGCACAAGACAGTTGCTGGGGACAAAGCACCAGGAAGACCACATGGGGGACACTTAGCACACAAATGAAGGTCACCAGACCTTCAGTGGGACACCATCCCCCTTGCCAGCCACAGCACAGGGCACAGCCAGGTACCACTGGCAATAAGGTGATGCAGAGCCCAGAGCCTGCCCAGGCAGCAGATCCTGCAGGTGGAACCAGCTTCAGGAAAGGAGGACAGATCAGCATTTGGGCTGCAGAACCCCAAAGGACTGCCAGGGTCTTGTGATTCCAGGTCTTAGGGGGTGCAGCATCCTCAATCTGGGCAAGGATGCCCAAGGGCTCAGGATGACAGAAACTGTGCAGTGGGAGGTGAGATTGGAGGTTCTAGGCGTGCGTGGGGCTTTCTCTTTCCTGACAGCCATGCCGACTGGTAGGATGTCTTCCATGTGACTGTGCGCTGGCCCTGGCTGGGAAGAGGGACTTTCCCGGAAGATGGACATGTGCTCCCATGATGGTCCCCAAGCCTGGCCACTGCTCTGGGCCTCCATGAGGACAGCGTTTGCACATGTCAGAATTGGATCACCAGGGCCGACTTCTGAGGCATTCTAGGGTGGTTCAAACAGTCAAACTTTCAGCTCAAGATCAAGTGCCTGACATTTGTACCACCCAGGGACTCCAATGAGCATTGCACACGAGCTCCATTTTCCTGTTTTTAAAGAAATCTGTCCCTCAGCTGCAGCACAGCCCTGGCCTCTAGGCTGTTCCTCTATGTGCTCCTCAGTCCCCTCCATCCCAGCACCTGTGCTCACAGAAACCCCCTCCTCTCATCCCAGCGCTGTGTCCCCTCAGAGCCCGCCCCGGGCGTGTGCCAGGCGGGAGCTCACTAAGCCAGGTCAGGGGCATCACACGACAACCTGAGGCCAGAAAAGTCACCCGGTCCTCAGAGGTCACGGTCCCAGGGGACGGAAAGGTGGGCACCAGCGTGCATACCTCTCCTGCAGCTGGACGCGGTGGCCCCAGTTCAAGGACTTGACGTGGTTCTGGACGGCCTCTGCCATTTTTCTCCTGGAAACACACAATATGACAGACACATGAAGGCATGACAGATGCGTCAGTGGCAGAGTTTCTAAAAAAAAAAAAAACAAAAAAAAGCAGGAGTGTCCCAGTTTCCTAGGCTGTAACCTTGACAGAGGGAGCTCTGGTGGCTCAGTGGTAAGGAGCTGTGCTGCCAATGCAAAGGTACACGGTTCGAATCCACCAGCTGCTCCATAGGAGAAAGATGAGCAATCTCCTCTCATGCAATTTACAGCTTCTAAAACCCCACTGAAGAGTCTGCTATTGGGTCAATTTCTGGCTCTACTGTGCGTAACAATAATTTTGACAGATGGCCAGGCCTTTCTCCCGAGGAGCTGGGGAGATTTTACCGCCAGTCTTAGCGGTTTGACACCAGGGCTCTTTCCCTAATAAGCCACCCAGTGCAAAGGTTAAGGGATGAAGGTGTCTGAAAGGTAGCAGCACGTGCCACTATCCCTGGTCCCAGCTAGCAGCGTGCAGTCAGCTCCACGTCCTGAAGAGAGAGCATTCTTACAGTGGGTTCTGTCTATGCGCCATCACAGCGGCCGAGCTGGGCCTGAGGTGGGCTCTGAGAAGACCCACGTACAATCCAGCTGCGACCAGCCCATCCTCAGAGGCAGGGAACCTGAAGGAGGCTTCACCAACCCCACCACGCCGCCCTGGCGTTCCCTGCGGTCAGGGAGGCTGGCCTGTGCACTGGGTAATGTTTAATCTCCACTTTGTGGAGCCAGCACCCCTTTCTCAAGCTGTGACAGGCAGAAACATCTGCTGGTAATGTCTGAGGGGGAGGACAGAGTCATCTGCAGTTGAGAACTGTGGCCCATAACAAGCTCCCGGGAACGCAATCAGCACACTTCCCACCCAGCCTGTGATGGACAGAATGAACTGGCGATGCCCAGCGCCCGCTCTCACCAGTCGTGCAGGGCAGGGTGAGTCACTTCCCAGCCGTAGTGGTGGGCATCTCGGATCAGGCCCCCCAGCAGGGCTGCTTGATGCATCAGCTTCTTGGGGATGCAGCCAACGTTGACACAGGTGCCGCCGAGGCCCCATCTGGTGCCTGGACACAGAAGAGCATGTCGGGAATCTCAGTGGGCTGTCACAGAGCCCTGACCAGTGAAGCCTCTGGGAGGCTTGTTTCAGCATCTGCACTTAACTGGAATCCGCTCAAATAGTTGCAACTCGACCACAAACCAACTGCAGTCATAACATAACTGCCTGCAGAGTAGTCTGAAAAATGGGAATACTGAAGAAACTTTATACATTGGTGGTAAGATTGTAAAAGGGTACAACCACTCTGGAAGGCAGTTTGGCACAGCCTCACAAAGCTGAACATAGAAATTCCATATGACCCAGCTATTCCACTACTTGGAATAGACCTTGAGAAAATGAGAGCTGAGGCTCAAATGGAGATTTGTACACCAATGTTCTTGGCAGTGTTATTCACCATCGCAAGAACATGGAAACAGCCTAGATGTCCAACTACAAACAAATGGATTGAGAAATGACGGTATATTCACACAATGGAATACTATGCAGCACAAAGGAGCAATGATTTTGTACATTATTAACCTACCTTGGGAAGAGACTGGAGAGCATTATGCTAGAGTGAACTAACTCAGTCCCACAAGAATAAATATTGTATAAAACCATTATTGTAGAATGAGTATAAGAATCCAATGGGGGGAGGGTGGAAGCAGAGGGATGAGGATGTGTAGGGGGAGGGGGTATTAATCATGGGGTTGTACAAGTTGATGGGTGGGGGGTGAGGGAAATTGGAAGAATCTATTCTCAAAAGGAATGTATTTGAATTTTGTAAATAAGCTACTATTAAAAAAATACTAGAGCTTACATGCAAAGTGGGGCACACTTCTGGAGACTCAGGGGACAGCTAGGGATGAATGCACCAGCTGCCCTTCACACTCTCCCACCCAGCACCCCCAAGTCACCCCCTTCCATTGAGTTGCCTACCTCGTGGGGAAGGTTCCACATAATCTACCAGGGCCACTTTCCTTCCCAACTGAGCAGCTGGAACAAGAAGAGGCACAGGTAAGTGAATTCACAAGGGACAAGGCTCCCAGGGCCCAGGAAGGCAAACAAGGGTTAGCCAGGGGCTTCCTCCCAGCAGCTGAGTGAAGCACCATGACCTCCATTCAGCCCCTGCAGCTCAGCTGACCTGGTGGCTGCCCACAGGCGGGCTCTCAGACCTCCACACTGGCTCTCTTGGGCACTACCCCCAGGAAGGGCTGATGCTGCAGGGACCTGGGCCCTCCTAGGTCGACCTCCCATGCACAGCAGATTGCAGTGACATCTGACCTCCTGAGTATGGGCCCCTCAGAAGTGTTGGGTCCAGCTCTCCTTGCCTCCTGCTCCACACCCAGGCATTCGACCTGAGCCCACAGTCCCCTGAGCACACTGGGGAGCACTCCAGGAGAAAGCCTTCTCACCAGAGACACCCCTTCCACCTTCTCCCCGCATAGTGCCTGTTACCCGATGTCCTCTGCACTCCAGAGAAGACCAGGCCTCCCGTGTGGACTCCCAGCTCCTCCCTTCAGTGCCAGTGTGAACAGACACCCTGCCTCTATCCTTATCAGAGCCTTTCTTGGTGGGTGCCCGTGGCTCTACTCTCCAGGTAAGGAAACCAAAGCTGGGGAGAAGCGAAGTGGCTGGTCCATGGTCACCCAGCCCCCAGAGGTCGACCTGAACTCAGACTCCAAACCACACGCTTTGCCCAGGGGGCCTCTGGTCTCCCTCATCCATCAGCAGAGCCATAAAGCCAGTCGCCTCTGACCTCAATTAGCCAGGAATCCCAAAGGCTCCTTCCAGACTTGGTCCAAAAGACTGATCAGACTCGGACTAGGAAACTGCCATGAACTGAACTGTGTCCTCCCTCTCCACAGTTTTATGACTCTCAGTATTGTGTAATTGCCCTCCATTTCTGCAATGTGATGTGATAATCAATGTGTCTGTAAATCCTAACCTCTGTGTTAATGGCAGAATTAGGGCAGTTATGTTAATGAAGAAGAAGGAAAACTAAGGGATTAGGTTCTATCTTGAGTCAGTATCTTTTGTTGTTGTTGTTGTTGTTATGAGTCACCTATGATTAATGGTGACCCTACCCCTACGTACAATAGCTCTGAGCCCAGCCCTGTCCTGGGCCAGTCTCAGTAATTCACATCAACCCCCCCACTGCCCCTGTCACTGTATCAATCCATCTCATCTGGGATCTTCCTCTCCTGCGCTGTTCCTCTACTATTCTGAGCATGATGTCCTTCTCCAAGGATCGGTCTCTCCTGGCCATGTGTCCAAAGTATGTAAGACTCTGCTTCAAAATCCTAGCCTCCAAGGAGAAACGTGGTTTCACCGTCTCCAAGACAGATCTATTTGTTTTCTTCAAAATCCTAGCCTCCAAGGAGAAACGTGGTTTCACCCTCTCCAAGACAGATCTATTTGTTTTCTTGGTGGTCCATGGTATGTTCAAGACTCTTCTCCAGCACCACAGCTCAAAGGCATTGATTCTTCTTCTACCATCCTTAGACATTATCCAGCTCTGATTCATAGCAAGTAACTGCAAAGACCATGGACTGGATCAGGGGCACCTTAGTCTCTAGACTGACATCATTGCTTCTCAGTACTCTGGAAAGGTCCCTGACAGCAGATTTACCCAGTGTCATTTGTCTTTTGAGTACCTGACTGCTGGTGCCAAGAGTGTTGACTGTGGAGCCAAGCAAGCTGTAACTGTTAACGACCTCAATCTCTTCTCCATCCCTCACGGTGCTGCCAATTGGCCCAGTGGTGAGAATCTTTGTCTTCGTGATGTTGAGTTATATTAAAAAGATCTGACAAGAAGGTGACAGCCTCTCAGCTGCCTTGTAACTGCTGGTTACCAGGGAGTTTCGAAACTGCTACAGAAGACCAGTGCAGTTATGGGAGCCTATAAACTCCTTGGTCTTTACCACCAGATTACTGACCAAGGACGCTGTGAAGGCTATTGACTCAGGGCGCGAGGCATGCTTCCTGAGTAAGCGACACTCACAGGGAAGCCCACATACTGCACGGTGGGCTCTGGTAGCCACAAGGCAGACCTCAGTGAGGGTTAAACTGGAGCATAGATATCCCTGCCCCTACCCAGGAATTGTAAGCTGCTGGACAACTGATACAAACTCCTAAGAAGGTCCCCTACAGCAGAGCTGGGAGGAGGGACACCTACAAGAAACTGCCCCTCGCCACTCCCAACCCACACAGGGCCACTGCTCTGAAATCAGTAAGACGGATCTCTTGAAGCTCTTCTAGGGAGTACCAGTCCCTCTTCCTGGAAGAGAGGAGAGTCTGCAGCGCTTCTCCTGAAAAGCCACTTAAGACAGAAGCTCCCAATGAGCGGGGAAGCAAAAAGCTGGAGGGAGGGCAATATCCTGGCCCAGACAGGCGCTGCTGAGCGCAGGTCTTCTGACTTGAAAACGCAGTCACAGGACCCAGACGACGGAGGCTGATGGTGGACAGTACAGAACAGCTCTCCTGGATGGCAGTGCCAGCTGGTGGATGGATTACTGATCAGTGAGTTTTCTGGGGTGTTTGGGAGAGAATGAAAGTTAAACACTGAGATTCGGGACTTCTCAATCATGATTCAACCAAGAAGGGTAAAAACTATCACAGAGAGAACAAAGACATACGAATCAACAGCTGAAAGGTCTGGCCATCTCAGAATTTGTTGTTGTTGTTATGTGCCATCAAGTTGCCTGTGACTCACAAAGACCCTGTGTACAATAGCTCTGAACCCTGCTCTATCCTGTGTGAACCTTATTGTCTCTGACACACCTACCCCCCTTTACCTCAGTCACTGAATCCATTCATCTCATCGAGGATCTTCCTCTCATGCTGTCCCTCCACAGTTCCAAGCATGATGTCCCTCTCCAAGGACTGGTCCCACCTTGCAACACACCCAAAGAATGTCAGATGGAGCTTCAGAATCCTTGCCTACAAGGAGCAGCCCGGTCTCACCCTCTCCAGGACAAACTTGTGTGTTCCCCTAGCAGTCCATGGTATATTCAACACTCTTCTCCAGCACCATGGCTCAAAGGTATCAATTCTCCTTCTATCATTCCTAGTCATTGTCCAGCTTTCCAATGCATAACACATAATTGCGAAGACCATGGCCTGGATCAGGTGCTCCTTAGTCTCCAGACTGCCATCACTGCTCTTCAGTACACTGGAGAGGTGTCTGACAGCTGACTTTCACAGTGCAATTTGTCCTTTGATTTCCTGGCTGCTGGTACCAAGAGTTTGATTGCAGAGCCGAGCAAACTGAAGCTGTTAACAATCTCAATCTCTTCACTCTCTATCATGATGCTACCAATAGGACCAGTAGTGAGAATCTTTGTTTCCTTAATGTTGAGCTTCAGTCCATATTGAAGGCTGCAGTCCTTGACCTTCTGCAGGAAGCATTTCAGGTCCTCCTCAATTTCAGCAAGCAGGGCTATGTCATCTGCAAACCAAATCCACAATGAGATAAACTATTTGACCTTCTACTGGAATGGCAAGAAAGGAAGCTTGGCAATACAATGGTGAAAGCACTTGGCTGGTGACCAAACGGTCCTCAATTTGAACCCACAAGTCACTCCATAAGAGACGGCAGCCTGTTGCAGACCGAGGGTCCCAAAGAATAGAATAATTTTATAATTATTATTAAAGAGACAAACAGCCAGGAATGAGATAGAGCAGAAAGCATAAAACAGGGGGTCAGCAGTTCTCGACTGAAGTCCTCAAGCCATGCTTCTCTGAGTATTTATTTAGAATCATAAGATAATAAAAGTAAAATCACAAGGAAGTACAAAACAAAGGATAATTTCAGCTTTAATTTTCAAGTTGCTTGGCCCATCCAATCAGGAACTTGTCTCCAATAGCTGGAAATAGGTATTTAGTCTATGTCGACTTTGATGGTGAAATCCATTCTCTCCAACTGTCCCGGGTTTCAGCCACCAGAATGTTACTGTGCAATCAGTGCCCTGGTTCACCCTTCTCATACAGGTAAAAGAATTGTTCCCGACTGAAGAGATCGAGGAGAGAATGGTATTGAAGTACCACAGTAGTACACAGTACAGTAATCTTAGTGCTTCCTGGGAGAGCAGACTTTAGTTTCTGGAACATTATAGGCCGAAGGCTTTTGTTACGGTGCAGAGATGAGAGCAAAGAGACAAAGAGGCAGAAAAGAGGGTGGGTTGTTTCTTGTTATGTGCTGTCGAGTCACCTGCGACTCATAGCGAGCAACCCATGTACAACAGCCCTAAATCCTGCTCTATACCGAGCCAATCTTACTGTCTCTGACACACCTACCCCCATTACCCCAGTCACTGACTCAATGCATCTCATCCAGGGTCTTCCTCTCCTGCGCTGTCCCTCTACCCTCCCAAGCATGACGTCCCTCTCCAAGAACTGGTCCCTCCTTACAACATGTCCAAAGTATGTCTCACGGAGCCTCAGAATTCTTGCCTCCAAGGAGCAGCCTGGACTCGCCCTCTTTAGGACGAACTTGTTTGTTCTCTTAGTGAGGGTAAATAGTAATAATAGACTAGAAAGTTATATCCCCAAAGGGTCAGACCCTCCTCTTTGAAAGGAGATAAGGAGAAAAGGCCCAAACCTCCCCTTCTGTTAATGCAAAGAACGCTCATGAGTTCTGTAACAACTTCAGGCAGCTTAATCCTGGGTTGTGACAAGCAACAAAAATAATAACTCAGGGGAGCTCTGGTGGCCTAGTGGCAAGAAGCTGCAACTACAATCCCAGAGGTGCATGGTTCGAATCCACCAGATGCTCTGCCGGGGAAGGAGGGGCAATCTCCTCCTGTACCAGTCAGATCTGATTTGACGGTACACGCACACAAAAATAATAAAATAAAAAAAATAATAATAACTCAGATGCCATCAACATTTTAAAAGGTGCTGCAACAGAATGCCATTAAAAATACTATACATTGTGGAAAAAATATTTGCAAGTCATATGTCTTATAAAGGTCGAGTACCAAGAATATATAAAGAATTCTTACAAGTCAATTATGAAGACGCAAATAACCCAATAAAAATACTGGCCAAGATTCCGAAGAGGCATTTCTACAAAGACTGACAAATGGCCAATAACTAAGGAGGGGGAGAAATGTCAAACTTAATTGCCAAAGAGTTAACTGCAACTCAGAGTGATCTGAAGGGCACAGCAGAATGGCAAATCTGGGGCTGTAAATCTTCTCTGGCCTCATCTTCCTCTCCTGGAACAACTGGGATGTTTTACCATTGACCTTCAGTGGGCAGTCAAGTTCTTTCATCACTACACCACCCAGGCTGCTCACAAGGCCAACGAGTACAGGAGAAGATGCCCCATATCCTTAGTCATCAGGGAAATGCAAATCAAAAACCACAGTGAAGGATTCCTTCACACCCATTAGAATGATAATATCAAGACAGATGATTACCACTGATGAAGATATGAGGAAACAGAACTTTTGCATACAGCTGCGTGAAGTGGAACACAGGAAAACAGCTGGGCAGGAACTCAAGCGTCTAAACAGAGTATATGATCTAGTGATTCCATGTCTAGGTGCTCTGTAGTGAATGAATGACTTGCTATGCCCCCTTCATATTGCCACGGTTCATAACAACGTATTTCAAGAGGCCAGTCCTTGGAAAAGGACATGGTGCTCAGAGGCGTGGGGAGGATCAGCGGAAGAAAGACCCTCAGCTGTAACTGGGTATCTCTGTCATCACAGGAGACTAGAGCGAGGGCTGCATGGTGGAGGGGACCTGGGGGAGGGTTTGTAAAACAATGAAAGAATCTTTTCTTTTACTTT